CTCCACTGTGCTGCAGGAGCTTAAAAAAGACTCCTCCAGTCCTGTCAAAAAGACAACCGAATTATTAAAGCAGCAGCTCTTCAGGTGTTCAGAAGGACTGTGGGAACCAGGGGCAGAAACTGATGGCGAAGAATTATCTGCCCCTTACCCTAAAATGCAGTGGAGTAGGAGGGATGTGGATATTGCAGGAGAAACAATGCCAAATATTGCTGTCTGAATGATGTCACTATTTGAGTGGATCCAGGTCCCTTGTGTTCCTTGCTTTGGTGGCTTTGGCCTGTCCAAGTTTTAAAAATATCCACTCCTAGCCTCTGTTTTGCCTCTCTCTTTCCCACAGACCCAGGAAAATGTGGTAATCCTTGGAGAAATCCACATTAAATTAAAACAGCGTGCAAGAATCTGTTTTCCCAGTTCTACCCCGTGAGATGGAGGCCATGGCAGCATCCATAAACAGCAGCTTGGAAATCATCTGACACCTCTGGTTCCCAAGGCTCCTGGGTGAGATACAGAGCCTCATGTGAGAGCAAAGTTAATGTGTGACTTGTTAAAGGCAGAGCGAGGAGAAGGACAAAGGTCTCTTGGCCATGTGCCTGTCCCACTCTCCCCGTTTCACTATAACTCAAAACTTAATAATATTTGCTTGTTATTAAGCATTAACATCTCAACCTCAGCAGCCTCATTCCCTACTCACTTCTGAATGCTGTGCACATTTTATTCTTATACTAATTCTGTATTTTTTGAAATACCACCAATTTCAAGTGATTATCTTTCTAACTAACCAGTTTCTGATCTCTAAGACTTTTTATGTGGAAGACAGCCAACCTCCATCTTTCCAGAAGTCAGGCCCCAAAGTAAGAACCAAAACCACAAACCAGCCCTGAAATCTTTGGCTTACTCCATCCCTAGGCATGTCGTTGCCTAGAAAAGGCTTAGTCACAGCAATTTCTAGATTGCTGAACTTCCCACTGTCTAGTTTCTTGGCTAAGGCACCAGAATTCTCATGTTAACAACTTATGGAACACTTCTCTGTCTATACAGGAGCACCCTCTTCAAGGTGGTGACATAACCATACACTCAGCTGGTTGTTTTTTGGTTTTTTGGGGGGGTGTGGAGAGGATTCTTTTCACGTCTGCTCTTCACAAACGCTTTCCTTCAACCCTTACTGCCCTGCCTGACTCTGAGCATCCTATTAACCCAGCAGCTTGGCTTAAAAAACAGCAAGTCAGCGTTTTGCTTGCAAGATGTATTATTTTATTAATAAGAAATATAAACTCTCGCAAGCCTGCAGTAGGAAAGAGGGTAGAGAAAGCCAGCTAAGTCGACGAGAAGCACTTTTTCCCCCATCTCCAGACAAGCTTGTGAGGACACAAGGCAGCACATCCCACATTATCCAGCAGCCTTCTGAATGAATACTTTCCTCCCTGTGACAGAACGTAAACTGCTTTAGCCTGACTCTCCTCCTGACAGACCTTCTAATTATCTCAGCTGTTTACAGCGCTCAGGCCCTCTGCTACCAATTTCTCCATTATTCTGACAGTCAACAAACTAGACCTATTAGAGCACAGCACAATTCTAGCCCAAGGCAGGAACTTTGTGAGACCACAAATCGTCTCGGTATTAAAAGTCGGTGCATAAGAACTGCCCTCAGCTTTAGCGCTAAATTGCTGGTTTGGAGACATTCATTGCTGTATATTGTATTTCCACTATATTCCGCTTTAATAGACTTCGTGCTGAAGTGTGTAAGAAGAGTTTTAAAGCCTGAGGTGGCAAGTAGACCTTTTTTTAATTTTTTTTTTTTTACCATTTTATATATTTTTCCATCTTTTTTGTTTGTCACCTTCTATTGCAAGGTTGGCTCACGTACATAAAACAACACTGCAGCCATGCAAGAATGTCTAACAGTTAGTGGAAGGCACAGATTTTACCATTAAAAGTTCAACAACAAGGTTTGGGCAAGACAAGATTTGTTACTATTTGATTTGTACAGGGCCTCAGATTTAAGATTATTTCTTTTGTTCTTTGGAATATTTTATTTTCCTGTTTGGCAAAGCTAACTTGGTTTTATTCTTCTAATCTTCTGGTATCAAAGTAGTTAGGGCCCAGTAAGAATAATAGTTAGAGAGGGAGATTACAGTTTCTATTAATAATTTGTGTTCATTTGTTTAAGCAATGTTTATTCAAGGTTCAGAAAGCTCTTAGAAATTTGTGTTTATTAATTAGTGTACACAACACTCTATAAAGTATTTATGTATGGCCTATCTCCAGATTTCTCTTAGTTTGAGTCAGTACAGATGCGGGATTTATTTTGACTAAACACACAGGAATCATCTGATTCAGGTATCCTTGTATCTGAATTCTGGACTAATTTTCAATATTATCTTAAATTCAAGAGCTCTGCAGGTACATACCAGGTTCCAATCTCCCAGGTTACCCACCAAGGTGTAGAAATAATTCCAGATGTCTAAGATACACATTATTATCAAGCTGATAATAACAACTAATGTCACCAATTAGCCCAAACCACAAAAGCTCCAACTATATTTTTCTGAGCAATTTGATTGATGCTAACACAGCTAGGAATACTCTCACAGTAAATTTCATTCAGCCTTCTATTTGCCAAGCAGAAGTGGTTATATTTATGAAAAATTAAAGATTTTAAATTGAAAAAAAAAGATCTTTTAAAGACCAAACCAAAGAAAAAAATACATAAAATGTACATACACACCATTTCATCTAAACAAAGTGTCGGAAGGAACGTGTGCTTTCACTGAACTGTGTTACCTCTGCCTGCTGGAATGCTGGAATATAAAATGACATGTAATATTAGATTCTACTGAATTTGAATTCTTCCTTCGAGGCATTTATAGCGAAATAAAATATTTTCCAATGAAGACTCTTCGAAAAGTGGCATTTCTTTCAGCAGAAAACTTCCTGAAGACAATTTCCAGTTTAGAGACACAGGGCTGGGTGAGTTGTCACCCAGTCAGTCACACAAAATAATGTACTGGACATGGACATCATGGAACAACAGAGGGAAAGCCTTAGCACAGGATTTGTGGCAAAGACTGTTGCATTCCTGTGAGATCAATGTCAATACTAAGGCAAATCTAACTCAGAAGCTGTCCTCTTAATAGCTTTAAAGTGTTCAAGGTTCTTAAGTTCTTCCAAACATGGCTTTGAAAGAGAAATGTGTCTGTGTTGCGCTGTGGTTTCACATTTCATCTTACAGGACGTACTAATTTGGGCTAAATACTTCTGTGACTTAGTCAAACAAAACTTAAACCAAATTGTCAGGCCACATTGCTCTAAACACAGATAACTCCAGGAGAACTGTGTGAGATTTGAAGTTTTGCTGCTGAGATTAGGAGCGGCTCTAATGATTTCCACAGAACTGGTGTGAAACGTAAATTACCAGAGTCCTGAGTAATTCGTCGTCCTTTTAAATCTGTTTCCTAAACTTGGTTTCCTGTTCAGAAGAAGGGCATGTTCCTGGGTCAAAGCCAAGCTGAGAGAAATTGGGCTCTAGATGGCATTTCTCATTGGCTTTGTATCAGATTCTCCAGTGGGATACTCTGGATTTCTGCCTGCCAGAGGACTTCATCTCTGCACAGAAGACCCACGTCCACAGTCTTAACCATGTCTGAAGTGTCTCTAAAGTAACAATGTTATTTTTCTCCTGAAAATAGAGGTTTCTGCTCTCAGAACCAAGAAGGAATCAGAGTACAAAATGAAGATGTCAGAACTCCTTGGACCATGATGGATGGAACTGGTGTCATATTATGGGAAAGAAATAGAATCATTGAACTTTAACATGGAAGCAAGAAAGATTGGTTAATATTAGTTTTAGGGGGCCTGTATGTAAATAAATGTATTAAAATATTTTTAATAGTCTATCAGATGTTGTACTTTCATGTTTACTTATTTTTTAGTCTGAAAGAAATCCATGTTGACAGGGCATTCAAGCCCTTTTTTAAATTGACCTTAGTGAATTAATTTACTGGTAACTATTTTCAAAGTATGCCTTAAGTAAATAACACATGAAGTAATTGAAAGAGAATTTCAGGCTTGCAACCACAACTATTTGTAGTGTAGACCTAAGTCTAAGCCTTTGGGTTCATCCAATTATGGTATCAAATCATTGCCATATATACAATCAGCCCCAAGAGTGTGGGATGGCAATCAACACATCAGCCAGGATATTTGTAGGCAAGTCATTATGCACTGCAATCTTTGCAGCTCTCAAAAACGAAGCAAGAATTGTTTTCAAATCTTGGCAAAACAGGCAAGCTGCTTAGTAACATGGTTTGGATATCAAGGATTTCATGAGCCTTCCTCTGAGACCTTGCAGAGCACCAGGGAAGCGCTGGCATTGGAGGCTGTTTGTGCCACAGCCTGTTTTAACTGTTGCTCAAGCCTCTGTGTCACTTTTCACAGACAAAATTTTTAATTTTCATCACCTAGCCAGTACTATATTCAGAAAATTCTAGTTTTTCTATCTAAAATTGCTGCTCCAAAATATAACTGTAAAATATATTAATTCTTCCCTCTTTCATGCCCTAGACCACTGAGAAATAGTTTTAGGTTTGTGATTTCTGATCTGGACCCCTCTCTAGCTCCAAAATTAATTAAACCAAAGCAGTGGGACAGGCTTAAATTCATACTGGCTTCTGGAAAGGAAAAAAAAGTAGCCCTTGTCTATTATGGGAGGCTGGCAGCAACAGATTACATATTTAGGGAGCCTTGTTCCTGGTCGTTTCTGCAGCTTTCATTAAAAAGATATGCATGCTAATCGTGGAAATGGGAGGCAACCTAGAAAAGAGATGTATTATTATGAGAGGCTGGGACATTGTATTTGTGCATACAGCAGGGAAAACTATATTGAAATGAGTGCTAAAAACAGCCCAAGAGCGATGTGGGGAACGACGAGGAGGAAAATCCAGAGCCGGAGCCTCGTAAGGGGAGCGGCGGAGTTGGAGTCAGAGATGCAGAAAGGAGAACAGGTGAGGGTCAGAAAGATAGAAAGGAGAGAGAGCAGCACTGGGAGAAGACATGAGAAATTAGATCAGAATCTAAAAGCACTCAGGAGAGCAGGGAAAAAGGCAGAAATTAGAACAGGAGCTAAGAGGAGAGCCGAAGAGGCAATAAAAACTCAAGGAGGAGAAAGAAAAACTGCAAGATGAAGAGAGGAGGACAGGAAAAAAAGGGCAGGAGATAAATATGAGGCAACATAAAAGGGCCTTGATCTCCAGTTTGTAAAGATGACGTGATCTGTGGTGTGAAAGAAAAGAAATACTTTGCATTTTTTGAAATGGCCATGAGGAGAGGACCAGGCTACATCTCAGAAATCAATATCACATTTTATGCCTGCTGCACCCTTCACGAAGAATCAAGACAACATTGATTCAAGTAAGTAATATTTCATTGAAAACTGATCTTTGATTGCAGAGCTGCAAGGGACTGGCTCTGGGTGGTGTCTGTGCTGAACAGGTGGCATTTTCGGGATCGTGTTGGAAGTGATGTGGCTTCACTCCCGGTCGGCAGAACACGTGGAGAGCAGAGGACACGTCACTTTAGTCTTGGAGAGCAGAGGATGCTGCATCACAAGGGCTGGCCTGCTCTCCAGGGTCATCAGTGTGTGTGTGTGCCAGTGTGTGTGAGCAGCCTGGAAGGTTTGCTTTGTGGCTGTATTCGTTTCAAGCGGCGAAACGATTATTTTAAGATAATTAGAAAAGCCTTAGACCGATATTTTAAATCTGCTTTCCTGATCAGTTGTAGCAGTGTTAGAGCTGGTGTGCAGTCATGAGGCACAGGACCATCTCCCCAGACTGCCAGGCCAGGCTCTTGTAATGGAATTAACTGTTTCTGAGACATTTTTGCCCTGTTTTTGGGAATGTAAAATCTCCCCTTGATTTTATTTCCCTGGACATTAATTCCCTTGGGAAAGCAGATTCACTGCTTTGCTTGCATATCTTGATGCATTTCAGCTTCTTTATACCACAAAGGGTGAAAGTGAAACAAAACCTGTGTTGTAATTCCCTTTTGGAAAATCACTTATTTATCTCAATAAAATCAAAATATGTGGGTGAAAGGCTATGCTGATGGGGAGGGGGAGGCACAGAGGATTTTTATATATAAACCTCAATGTCTCATTGAAAACTGGTTTGTCCCAATCAGGATATTTAACCATTTGAATTTAGCTGGAACACTGATGCTGTATAAAGTTCCCACTGAGGCATGTCACACAACTCAGGGACACTGCAGATTTATTTCTGCCATTTTTCTTGGTCCTTTTGGAGAAATGTAGCCTCAAATTCTGTGATTATTTACTGTTGGATTGAGCTTTTTTTGACTTAGAGATAGGGTAACTGAGAGGTGTTTTAAAAACTGGAAAAATGCAGCGCAGGATTTTATTGTCACAAAATGAAATTATTGGAGCCATCTCAGAAAAGTCGAAATTGTAAATTCTGCTTCCACAAAGTAAAAATATTTTGTCTAAAATTTCAGTGCATAAGCAAAATATCTCCACAACTTTTCAAACTGCCACTGAGGAAACAAGGACTGCACATCCCACCTGGGGATGAAGGCAAATGTTGAGAGGCTGATTGTGACTCCATAAATCAGTCCCTGTGTTAACTCAGTTCTCCACTGGTACAGTACCTCAGAACTACAACTGAAAATTCATTTTGAGAGTCAAGTAAACAAAACCACAGCTGAGAGGCTGATAGGTGAGGTCTGTGAACCTGCTCTCAAGGATGAGCCTTTTTTCAGGAGTGTAGGATGGTCCTACCTCCAAAAAAGCTGCTCTGATGGAGGACAAGCCAAGTCTCGGCCTTTGCAGGAAACTTTGACACTTATTTTGGGAAACTGTTTGGAATGCAACCCTCAAGCAAAGCTGAGGCAGTGTGTTACAGTAGGGCCACAGGAATCACTGATAACTTAGACTCTGAACATTTATTTGCATGGTAAGGAGAGAAATGTTATTTTGGAGAACATGTTGTGAAAAACACCAGTTTGGCTCTGGTGGTGTGAGTGAGGATGATGGGGAAGGTTCATTGTAGGTGGATGGTGATCCCAAACCAGGGGCTCAGCAGAGGAAAACTCCTCATATTTGTGCAATTTCAGTCAGCAAAGGGTGCAAAGAGCTTCCAGTGGAGCAGTCCTGCAGTTCCCTGGTCTCAGCAGGCAGTGGTGACCACTCTGAGGAAATCTGGATTCTCAGCAGCAGGGAATCCTGAATCACCACATCCTTGGAATAAACATTTTCTCCCAGGCCTGGAATACCCAAGGACTCTACAAGTTTGAGTGCAGCCAGGAGCTGGTCTATCAGAGAGCAGTGTCTCTTTAAATATATCACCCCTTAGGACTGGTGATTTCCCTTTCAAGTGAAATTTGGAGCTTCACACTTCTCTCAAATTAAAGACAGAGTGATAGTAATATATACATATATTTACAAATACTGCATTTTTTATCATATATGCATGCCCCTTCCATCCTTCCACTCTTCCCACACAAAGGTAAAAAAAGAAACATTTTGGGTGTTTTCCTGGTATTCAGTGCAACTGCTCAGATACAGATACAATGAATGAGTTCAAATTTCACAGTAGCACTGTAATAGAAGCAGAACAAAATATAGTAATATCCAGGTTATTGTGGATTTCTGACACATCTAACTCTAAGCCATCTAACTTGCTCCAGAACTTGAAAATTGTTCAGCAAGCAGAATTGATAGCTCTTAAAAAAATGGATAATAATATCAAGCCAGATAGTTACAAGACAATGCCAAAAAGTAATGTACAGTTATTGTTCAATAATAATTCAAAAACCAGTAGCAGAACTATTTTGAAAGAAGGGGAATGAATTAGGAAGACACTTTGCAGTGTTGAAAACAGTACAAAGGACTTGTGGCCTAAGAAAATTCTTAATAAAATAATAATGCATATGTGTGCACATGCACATGTGTTGTGTATACATTAAAGAGACAAAAAATTAAAAATTGTAAAATTCATTCAACAAATAGTGGGGCAAAATGCAATGGCTATTTGTCATGAGTATAAGGTACTGATGAAAAGTGTTCATCATATTTCTGACTTCTCTAAGCCTAATACAAATGTGGAGAAAGTGGCATGACCTGCTGAGCTGACTTTAAAAGCTTTAAACTGAATTAAATTGGCAGAAATCTTCAAAAATTGTCTTGGGAGGGGAAAAAAATTTCATGACAGAGCATAACAGATGTATGAAATTAAGTGCATTTAGGATACATTATCTTTGCTGTATGATGGGAAATGTTTCTAATTGCACTCACAGGGTGCCTTTAAGATGTGTTTTTATTTAAAAAGTGTTCCTTATGATCTGTTATGGATTTTCAGAAGAAATACATAGGCAAAAGAATAAAATGCATATGAAGATATATGGTTTTTTGCAACAATCAACACATTTGTTGTCATTGTTCAGTGAGGCAAACTGTAAAAGCAAAGTTACTGAATCTACAGGAATGGAACAAAAAGAAAAAATCTTTCTGTGTAATGAGGAACCTGTACCATACTGATGGATATGTACTCAAGTGCTCATGGGTGGTCTTGTAGCTCATATCAGCATTGGATTGTTTGTATTTCCAGGTATATCTGCACCTTACATCCTGTAAAGTTGTTGCTCTTCTTTTCCTGTATGCTGGATGCTCTCTAAATCCAGTAATTGAGAAGCAATAGGAAATATCATACATGGATTTCACCATTATTAATAATGTCTGTGCTGCAAAGCATCCCCAGCCAGCATTCAGTGTTCAAAGTCCTGCTCAGCACATGGTGAATACTGGATAAAAATGCAATGGAACTTCTTCTTGTGTATTGCAGAATCTCAATTAGTTCTTGCTGTGCCATTTACTCCCACAGATCTAATATGTAATTTCGTTAGGAGGCACCTTGAAAATTACAGCATTTCCTTTTGTCTTCACCAAGAGATTCACATGTGGATTTTTTTAAACTAATGAATATGGTTTTTGCTGCTTTTGATACTTTCAATGGTAGTCATAATTTTAAGGTGAAATATGACTGTCCAAACAATGCTGCTGACTTGCAGCATTGAGTCTGGAACTTCCCACGTTCTTTTCTCCACAATACCCTGATTTCCATCATGATGGAACTTCTTTGCTAATTTTTTTCTAGATGGAGGGAAAATTTCATCCTTGCACAGAAGAGCCAGAGGTGTTTCTGGTCTGAGCTGGTACATTTGGGTCTAAGCTCCAGTGCATCACATCCAACCAGAGCTTTCTGTCTCATTTGGTCAGGTCTTTCTATGCCACAGCTTTTCTATGCTACATCAAATTTCTTTGCTCTGTCCCAAAATATAAAGAATCACACAATCATTTAGGTTGGACCAGATCTCTAAGAGCACTGAGTGGAACCATTATTCTGACACTAAACCACATCCCCTGTGAACACATCTCCATTGTCTTTTCCTGGTATGTAGCATCCTTGGCTTAGATGCGGAAAAAATTTAGATTGTGGTGAATTTCTGGTGACCTCCCAGATTTTCTCCTTATCACAGATCATGAGTTGGGAGTTACAGCTGTGAAAGCCATGTCAATCCATTTAAAGCAAATATTCAAAACCACATAGCATCTGCTAATCTTAGATGCAAATAGAATAAACTCTTTCTTTGTTGCAACCACAAGAACACCAAATGTTTACTAATACCAGAACTGGTTCAGCCCCTTAATAGTGAAAAGTGACAAGACATAGATCATTATCTCTGACATAAATTTGAGCAGGAAGAAGATTCTTTGCAATGGAAACAAACACTAATGGAATAAAAATTACCCACATTGTCCAATGGATGTCAAACCTCGTGGAGTCCAGGATGACTTAGAACCATTCAGTTTCCATCGGAGAAAATAAATTGACTGAATGAAATAGCCTCTCATTCAGTTCCATATTTTTGTCACCAGCAGTAAAAATAAATAAATAAAACAGTACAAAACCACTTTCCTAACTTTCTCCAGATGAAATCATCCAACTACGTGATCATGTTTCAGGTCCATTGCTCAAAATCAGAAAGGGGAAAGTAAATCAATTTTAAAAAAAGAAATTACAAGAATTAACTCCAAATTAGGACTATTCTGTTGCAGCCACATAACTTGCATTGTAAAGCCTGTGTTTTAATATTTCTTCTAGAAAATGTCCACTAGTAAAAGAATATACAACAAGTAAATAACCCACCAAATATTGTGCATGTAAAAGATGAGGAAGACAAATATTTTTTAGAGTGAAAAATTGGTTTCAAAAGTGATACTAGAAAGAAACTGCTAGAAATCCAGTCAGAAAATGGAACAGTTAAACAGAGAAAAGGCTGCTGGCTGGGAGCGGAGATCTGATTGCTAATTCTGTCGAACAATGCACATAGCTCTGAGC